CCTAGATTTTGTTTCCTCTTGTAACCTATAAATAGTGCCTCTATTCCTCATCTTTGATCAATCAATTTGAGAATTTATTTCTTCTCTCTTTTCTCGTGTATGTCTCTCTGGTGTCTCTATCCTTAGTTTTTAGTTGGTGTAAATGTTTCTATTCTCCCTTCAATAGCTACTCTCTAAGTGACCTTATCACTAATTGGAAGGCTTTCTTGTAATTGTCCTAGGGGCCTTTTGTATATTTCATACCATCAATGAAATAATTGTTTCATATCAAATAAATAAATAAATTTGCATGGTCATCCATGGAATTAACTAACCAAGTCATTACCATATTTTCAGTGGCCAAAGTAGGTAAATAAAGAATTTTTTTGCGGCCAGTACTTTTTTATCTCCAACAAGATAGTCGATTTTTCCTTGCCCACGAATACATATTCGAGAACTTTGAAGAAAATTGCTCTATTAAGGCGAATGTTAGTTATTTAGACAGGATGAGTTCTGGAGTTGAATCGGGTTTCAGAAATCTTAGCCTCAAGTTATTAAGAGTAGTATCACCCTCTCAAACCCATTAACATCGTATATATACCATACGCATACGATGAACATAGTGTATTTTTCAGAAGGCAAAGAAGATTGACCCGCAACCTTATTCACTGAGACAGAGAAACAAAATACATACTTCAACATGTTTATATAGCTGAGGAGGAGGAAGCTTAATTGCATCGAGCATTTTTGGTTTCCCACATTCTCTTACTAAAGCATCCACCTCTTTGCAAATCGCTGTCACAGCATTCTGGTATAAGAGAGGAAAATTTTGTACTGTTATTCTGGGTAGAGATAAACTTCCACATCATAGAGAAGCTGAACTTAAGAAATGAATGCAAAATATTTCTAAAATAATTACAGCTGATAAAAGATAAATATATCATGATGTCACACAAATTCTTCCACTCATACAAATTCACGTATACATACTCATCATCCCAGCCAAAACATTGAGTACTCAAGTCAAAATAGAGTTCAATACCATAAAGAAAATAAAATATAAATCAGGATAACATTTTTCACATATAGATCCTGTTTTTGTTTAATATACTCCGTTATGTTTCCTATCAAATAACAAATTCTTTATTAACAAAAAAAAAAACTCTTAATGATTTGAGATATAGACGTGGTTTAGCTTGAACAAATATCCAAACCTAAGACATCAACTTAAACAAAACTGCATAAAAAAGATGACCCAAATTACTGGAGTGTAACCAGAACACAAAACACGCTGGTTTACAACTAGGTCACAATCAAACTGAAGTTTCTTTGAAGACAATGTCATAATTTAAAGGACAGGAACAAATGTCAAAACTGTAAGAAAGGTTGCTCCATAGCGCACCGAAAAGCGTTTTTATGTTTTAGATACGAGACAATTTCATTCATATGAATGAAACTACAAAAGAAGTGTCGTCGAAGTTATAACAAGAATCCAATTGTAATGTAGTAGTTAGAGAATAATTAAAAGGAAAAAAAAAAAAAAAGAATAAACTTAATACACCAAGAAGAGGCCGAACGGACAATAGAATCAAAGATTTGAGAGGATTATTGACAAAACAAAAATAGTTAAACTTTAACTGCATAATGCATTCCACCAAATCAAAACAATAACAAGAAATATGCCAACTGTGCTTTTAAATTCTAAACAAAATAGAAACTAACTTCAAATACATCAGAAATAGGCTACATACTTAAATTAAGTAAACAACCTGCCCAATTTCTACAGCATCGAGCAATATCTCTTCTGGTAGAAAATTACAATAGCCCTGCATGGATATTTTAATAACATCTGTTACTCTGAGCACAATCAAAACACAAACGTAAACTCAACACATAATATCCAATCAGCCAATAGAAGAATGTCCTTGCTTCCATAGAATCAAGAATTTCATGACCTACTAAGCAGAAATGCGTATTCTCCACACAACATCTATTGATTTCCATAACGAAAATGATATAAAGGAACTAAAATCTGAGTTTTGCTAGTATCAGAACTAAAATCCCCCATGGACAAACTTCAAACACAAACGAACTACAGAGATGAACGACTTTGAACGGAAAGAGAAGAGCGCATACTTACCTCCAAACTTCTCTTTTCTCTACTTATAAAGCATTTTGTAAGGTTGATTTATGCCAATTAGAAGTCCTTTTTGTAATTGTCTGGACTCCCTCTTCTTATTTTAATTTGGCCCCTTTTGTATTCTTTCATTTTTCTAAATGGAACTGTGACTTTTTCATCCACAAAAAAAGTTCTCCTAGATAATAAAATTTTAGGTATTGTTTTATTCTAATTAAGATCCTAACAATTTGGTCTCAGAACACTTATTCAGCGATGAGTCTTGATTTAGAGTAATAGCTAAGGATAAAAAGGTTGACGCTTAAATTGAGAAGTATTGTAGAATCAAAGAAGATAAAAAAATGGAGGATAGATCCATGACGCTCAAATTCAAAATAGAAGTGGAACCCACAAATTGAAAATATGATAAGTTAGGCAATAGCAGTGAAAGAACAGAATTCAGAAATGAGAGGTGAAAAGTAACTTGAATCTCATCGAAGCAAGAAGAGAAATATCAGTTGCTGAAAGTTGCAAGGTGAACTGAATTGGATCAACATCAAGAGAACCTGCTAGAAATTATCAAGTGTTCATAAGTAAGGGTAGAGGGTAATCGAACATAGTGATCATACAAGAACTCAATCAACGGCTCTCAGCCTTGCCTCCCCCTCAATTCCCCACCCCTCTAACTCTCCCCTTCCTTCAAAGACCCCTCCTCTTTGACTCCCAACCACACAGAAATCCATCAACACCCGTCCTCTCCACCTCCCTCTCAGATATTCGTTGGAAATTGCTCTCCCTCTAAGTTATCTGCCAGCATCTTAGTCCTCCCAGCCACGTACTAGGCAGTATGCCCTACCTGCATCTCGCCATACCTTTGTCTCACTTTGACATCCATAGCCTCTCTCTCAACCTTACTCACTCTCAGTCTTGATTTCTGCCAAAACCAACCAACAAATAAGCGGCTAGTCAGTCGATCAATCGACTTATACGAACCTTCAAGTCGATTTTATTCGAACTCAAATGGTCTGTTTTCAATATCAATTTGTGCCCAAGACCACACCAACCAATCGACGTGCTTCTTCCTTGCTCCCCATTACGTGTGGACTTAAATATTGATTTACTCGAGACTTAGCACACGAACTATTAATGTAAATAGGAGAGAATAGGAGAGAAAATGATGTTGCAACCGTTTGAACTCAAGATCTCCTAATTTTAGATAAGAAATTTGTCCTTTACCTTCCTTTTCTAGGATTTGGTCAACCTTGTATATTTGTCAATATATATAGACTTCAGTAATGAGAATTATAATGATCTGATTCTCTCAAACCTTAGTTTCTACATGGTATCAGAGACCTAGGTTTCCTCTAAAAGTTTTTTTGGATCTTAGGATTTCGTGCCCATTAGGGTTTTGTGCCCACTAGGGTTTGAAGTTTGGAAACCTTCTTTCAAGTGTCCATTAGTCTCCTAGCTCGCCAACGCATCGTCGCCGCCGTCATCCGCTGCTGTTGCGACAGGACTCGAGCTCGGGATTTGTTGTGGCTGATTTCTGTTTTGCTTCCCGTTGCTGCCTTTCACCGCACGTCGTCGTCCGCCGCTGCGCTTCGCCGTTAGTCATCGCACCTCACCGTCAGCCGCCGAGAGTTGCTGTTGTTCGCCATTTGTCATGGAGTCTTTGTTGCCGTCTCTATCTTGCTAGGGTTTCTGTTTTCCATTGTTGTGGTTCGTGTTTCATTCTCCATTAAAGCTTGGCTACTAGGGTTTATATTTTTCAGAAAACATCTTAATTAGCCGATTCAGTCAATGAGGCCCGATTCAGCCAAACCGGTTCATTTGGTTCGATTTAATCGACCCAGGTCAGTTGGTCGGTTCGGTTCAACCAATTCGGTTCACTTGGCTCTGTTCACAATAAAGTTTCATAGGCCCTTTCCATGGAACCTTCAAATCTTATAAAATAATCTTTATCCAGAGTAATTCACAGATGCCCAATGTCATTGCTCTAAATTCTGCTTCTGAACTTGATCTTGCAACTACATCCTGCTTTTTACTTCTCCATGTCACTAAGTTTCCACCTAAGAGAGTACAATAGCCAGAAGTTGATTTCCTATCGTCTATCAATCCTGCATAATCTGCATCTGTATAAACTTCTAGATTGAGTTTATCACTTTTCTTAAATAGTAATCCTCTTCCAATAGTGTTCTTTAAATAGTGAAGTATACGATACACTGCTTGAAGGTGAACTTCTTTCGGACTATGCATAAATTGACTCACCACTCCTACAGCATACGCAATATCTGGTCTTGTATGAGAGATATATTAATTTTCAAACTAACCTCTGATAAGTTTCCTTATTTACTGGAGGACTCTCTTCAGTTGCACATAATCTATGATTTTGATCAATCGGTGTTGCCATTGGTTTGCTACCAAGCTTTCCTGTTTCAAACAGTAAGTCAATATCATATTTCTGTTGTGACGAGAATATGCCATGTTTAGAATAGGCTACTTCTATCCCAAGAAAATATTTCAGTCTTCCCAGTTCTTTAACTTCAAACTCTTGGATTAAACAATTTCTTAGTTTATCTTGTTCATTATT